TAAACTTCAAGTAAGTGCCTCTGCTCTGGGCGATTTGCAGGCTGGCTCTGGAGAAATTATTTATCCAAGGTGATGGCTCCTACATGAGATGGGAATATCGCTTTACCGGATAACTGAGACCTCAATAACTGGTGAAACACCGAGAAATTCTGCTCAAAATTAATAAAGGTAGAGCAGTGCCGCTTGGCAGGAGCTCCTCAAGCTGTTTTCAGTACCTGTTTTCCCATTATTTATTTAATGTTAAGGGAATTACTTAGGTTAATATTACTCCTTCTGTCCCAGGATGAGCGCTGGGGCTGTTGCTGCATCCTTAATTGCAATAATGCTTTAATTTCCCAGTAAAAATATGCATTTTTGGTAATACAACCAAATTCCCATTAAACACCAAGACTTGAACCCAAATTTCCATCAAATACCAATATTTCCCTTTACCTGCGGTCACTCCCCCCTTTGCGGTGCAGACCCATGAGCACCCCCGGGGGCTCCCCACACCGTTTTCAGTAAAAAGCAGCCGCTCACAGTCACTGCCGTTGCTCGGAGCAGCACTGGGCACACCACTATGGGAAAATGGTGATAAAGGGATGGCAAATGAACGTTATAAAGCTGAAATATTCTTTTTTTCAACAAGAATCGCTATGAGCGCTGTGTCCTGCTGTAGGGCACGTACAAATACTCTGTGCAAAGCTCAGAAAACCCTTGGAAGAGGTGAATCTCTGAACGTTATCCCAATTTAAACCTCTGTTGTTAATTAGCTTAACTGAAAACAAGCCAAGGGAAAAGGTGATGTTAAATCTCACCCCCGAGATGTGTGAAAATGCACTCGGAAAAGCAACGGCCACCCCAGAATCCTTACCCCCCTGCCACTGGGTCCACTGCAGCAGCCAGGCTGTAGATGTTCCCTCCCTGCAGAGAGGAAACCATTGTTAAATGCAAATAAAGCTTTAAAATACGGTCATTTCAACCTAAGAAAAACAATAAATGGGATATTTGAGCTGTTTTCTGTGTGAAAATAACACTTTGCACTTGCACAGCCCCGCAACGTGTGTTAATTAACACTGTAAACCTCGACAGTCAGTAAATACTAAATACTAAATAAAATGCGTAAATAATCATTAAAGAGCCGTATAGAGATAAAAGAATTATTGTCCCATGTTCAGCTTTTATTAGGTTAAGCATCCATAGAGGAACACTAGAAATAAGCATTCCTGGAAAAAAACACAGAGCAGCGTCTGGTGCCACTGCAGACATGGATACAGCTGCTATTACAACAGTCTTTGGTTCAACAAATTCTGGCTTGCACGCATACACAGGAGTGTTTTCATGGATCTTGCATATCACAGGGGTTGCAAATAGAGAAGTGTTCATCATCAGACAGCAGCAGAATGCAGTAGTCCCTCTGAAGCAGCAGTAGTTCATTAGATCCCTACATTAATTTAAGTAATGGAAGCAGGAGCGTTGATTCTATAATAAAGTGCCCCTTTCGCCACAGAATTTCAGTCTCCACATGAGCAGTGCTCCCACGCAATGTGCAGCCACTCTACGCAGCACGAGCCCAATGCCTGGTCAGAGGCAGCACAGGTGCCCAGCCTGGGAAAAAGATGACAACACCCTCATGTTAAAATTAGCCTTTTCCTGTTTTCACACTGATGGCTAGAGATTACAGCATAACTGAGGGAGGGAGGAGAGAATTTCTGGGAAATTCATTGTTTCAAAGGGGGAATAATCTAAAACCAGCTTAAACAAAAGAAAAAAAATAAATAAAGCAGGCAAAACCCACCAAAGGCCCAGTCCAGCGTCCTTTTCTTATGCTAGTGCAGTTAAGAAAGTTTTTTAGAGAGCAAGCTCAATGCTCTAGATTTCAGGGAAGGCGTATGAAATTTAAGATGTCTCAGTAGGATATCAGACAAAAAATCAATGTGTTTAAAAAGCCCAGTGTGTTTAAAGAAGTGTCTTTTATTTAATCAGCAAAAAGAAAGTATCTTACCACAACATTAAATTGAAAGAGTTTTCTACTTGAATGATGGGAACAACTCAAGTTTGCAGCTATAATGATATTTTATGTTGAAGAATATAAATCCATACCTTCTGTGGAAGACATGAACATTTCTGTTCGGTTGTCTCATTCAGAGGGGTTTGGTAATTGTAGTTTTCATATGTGTTATAAGAGCTAAGTGAAAAGAGAAGAAAACAGTGAACCGAATTGGTCTGTAAAAGAACACTCGGGTTTGTTTCCTCTTAGGAGGAAACTCTTGAAATAAAACAACGTAACCGCACCAGCGGTTCCAGGTTGCTCTGCCCTGTACAGTGTGCAAGTGTGAGCTGAAGACAGAAAATTACAAGACCCAGGCACACTCAGACAAATATTCTGATTGTATAAAGTGTGTAAAACTTGGGAATGGGCAACAAAGGACATGAATGGACATCCAGAAAACCGCCTTACCCTTCCTTCTGCTTAGAAATAATTATCCAGACAATGCCTGACCCCAAGAGAAGCAGGACTCCTGCAGCTGCCAATCCTGAGAGAGAAGAGCATGGATTGTTTTCACTGCGTGTTTTAAAGCACATCAGTGCAAAACACATAACAGGCCCGTCTTCACAGTAAGCAGAGGGAAACGGTGCCACTGAGGCCACTGCATAAAGTTAAATATCTGACCACAGAAATGTCTCCGAGCTGCTTACCTAGACCTACCGAACCTGACTTGCGTGATGCTGGAGGGAAGAGAAAAAGAAAAATCAGCAAACTATTCCAACAAAATACAATGTTCTCAGCTGTAATCACTTTCTCAATAAAGCTTTTACTGCTAAGGCCTACAATACAGGATTTCTTAAAAAAACATACCATTTTTTTCCTCATACAGAAAGACATTTGCATGTTTAAAAGGCATTTGCATGTTTCTGCTTGATCTTTGCTTCATTTGCGTTTCACTCACTCAGTTTACAGGCTGGTACAGGAGGGTCCCAGCTGAGGTCCTCTTGGCACTGGATCTGACTGTTGCCTTCCAGCGTGTACCCATCATCACATTCGAGGGTGATGTTAGTCCCAGAGCGATAACTATTTCCTTTTATGGCTTTCTTAACACCTTGAACTTCAGGGAATACACATCTGACCTCTGAAATTAGAAGTACAAAAAAAGACATTTAATGAGAAGGAACATAAAATACGAGAAATACTACCGTGGGTTATTTAAGACATTGCTCTTCAATTCTTTCTGAATGTAACCAGGAATAATACTTATTCCAGAGGGCAATTCCTTTCTTTGTGGCTGCAGAAGAAGGCAGGTGTCTTACTCCCACATGTGAATATTTGTACAGATCAGCTGCTCCACACTGATACTGCAGTGAAGTGAATTATTGGCTTCAGTTTGAGTGTCTGATCACCTTTGACTGTCCAAGCCCAAGACTTCTGGAGGAGAAGGTTCTCAGTGGGAGGCTAAAGGGGTAACCGCAACATGTAACTTTTAACATTGATGTCTTTTTTTTTAATATTTATTTTTACTACACGTAATAAGTTACTGAGGACACTTCAAAACCATGAGGGTGTGGAAAGGCAAGGAGAACTTTTCTGTGTGACTGCAGCCTTTGAAGAGCCTCTGGTTTATTTACATCAGTGTTTGGTACGTTATTTCCTCTCATTGTTGTCAAAGGCCGTTTCAATTCATGAGTCACTGAGGTGGGTGCAGCTCCACCAAGGAAGCCCCCTGTGCGGGTAATGGATTTATTCAGGTGAATGTCCAGTTTTCCATGCAGGAACACCCACACTAGGAATCTCGTGACATTCCGGAGATTGCCTTTAGTCCAGTTTTGCTGATGACTGACCTTCACAGCGAGCTGTGCTGTGCCAAGTCACTGATACAGAGGAATTTTTTAAGAAGGGAATAGTCAGGCTCTCGTGTAATCTGCAAACCGCTCATCAGAGACAATTTCTCTGATACAATCACTTCCTTTGTTTCCTGTTAGTGATAACTGGGGAGTGAGAGACACAAAAAGGGAAGGAAAGGGAACGAGTTTCTACTCTTCTACTAAAAGTAAAAAGGTTTTAATGAAGGAAAGTAACTGTAGGCCTCATTCATAGCAACAAGAGCAGAGATGGGAAACATGCAAGAATTAAAATTGCCTTCCAGAATTCATGGTTCTGCCACCACCAGTTGCAAATAACACAAGCAAAGCAAGCACAAACGCACCTTTGCACCGCGGGGGAGGCTGGCTCCAGGTTCCTGATGCTGTGCAGTTGATGAAAGCATTCCCAACGAGTGAATAACCGGGATTGCAGCTGTAGGATACAGATGCTCCATAGGAAAAGATGTCAGAGACATTGCCTTTGAGCTTCCCGTTGGTGATTTTTGGAGGATGGAGACATTTCACCACTGCTAAGTCAGGGAGAGAGAAATGACAGCACTGACATGAGGGTGCTGATAGACTGTGAAGGAGCAGCGAAGGCACTGCACCATTGCAGCACTGATTGTTCCCTTTTCATTTCTTCACCTAGGCTCAACAACTGATTTTGTAATCCTGTAACTCCACCAGGCTTTGGAAATGGGTATAAACTTGTTGTTATCACTCATTCTATAGTAAAGGATTCAGATTTAATCCTTATACAAACCTTTCCGTAAGGGAAGTCATGTTTAAATGGCCTTTCTTCTTAACTCTCTGCAACAGTCTGATTGCCTTTCCATTCCCAACTCCTGGGCTCACACAGCCAACTGTGGACAGTGAGGGTATAGAGAACCCTTTGGTCTGTGAAATTTGATGGGACAGAGACCACAGAGCCCTTATTCTCTCTTTAGTGATGGAGTTTGTTGAAGCAACAGCTTGCTTAAGCAAGTCCTTAACCCAATATCACCAGTAAGTGTTTAATGCATTGAGAAAGTTGAGAGGATTCAGTGAAAAGACCACAAACCTTGGCACCGAGGAAGGGGCCGGCTCCAGACCCCATATCTCATGCAACGCACAGACTCATTCCCAGTGAGGGAGAAGCCACGTTTGCAGTGGTAGCGCACGAGTGCTCCTACGTCAAAAGTGCCTGAGAAACGGCTGCTGGGTTCCCCATTAGCAATGCTTGGAGGAGCCAGACACTTCACTGCCAAACAAGGAGAGGGAGAAGGTGATGTGAAATGGTAAAAAAGTGGTGTGAGATTGTAAAAAAACTGGTAACTAGAGTTAAAAAAAGTTCAATTATCCCTCGTCCCTGCAAAAAGCAGCACAGGTTGGGAGGAGCGGTTAGCGCTCAGCAAGTCTTACCTCTTCTTATAATAGACCCACCTGGCTTCGTTGTGGTATCAGGATGGTGATAGTGTTCTGCCACTCCATCTAGATGCAGCATTAAGAGTTTAAAATACACATTTGGGTGAGCAAATACAACGCACAACTTTACATTCATTTTCCATCATCTTGCCTTTACATTCCCAGCAAAAATTTCACTCCTCTCTGACACTGTCCAGCCATGAAGCTGCCAAATTTCTCACAGAAATGAAGAGAATGAAGATTATGGATTGCAACAAGCAGGGTGAAAAGAAAAAAAAGGTGAGAAAAGTACAAATCATGCTTATGCTTAACAGCATTACCCAAAACCTGGCTCACCTCCTGTGTGAGAAGAAAGGCATAAATAAAAGGAACAGTTTCTGATTTCTCCTTAAATAGACGGAGCAAACAGGAAAAATAAAGCAAAATTTGGCTTCAGTGAGTGAGTGTGAGCAGCTGGGGAGGAATCTGCGATGCTAAAAAGTCAGAGTGCTGACGCTTACCCCGCTCGCACACTGGGACTGGTGGATCCCATGATTTATCAGCTTGGCACTGGGCTGTGCGATGGCCTCGCAAGGTGAAACCTTTACGACACTTAAAGGTAACCGTGTCGTTGTATGTGTAGTGATATTTAAGAACAGATACTCTCCCATTCTGGATCTGTGGGGCTGGACATACCACCTCTGAAAAATAAATGCATTATCTCAAAGAGGGAGCCGTGTGTATGCTGTACATAAAGTCCATCTTTAATGTGCCACTGCTCAGAGGAGCTTCACAGGTAATACTTGAAAACTCACAGAAGAATAATTTCAAGAATTGAGGGCTTTTAGTTCCTTTAGATACCCTAGCTTTACCGCGCAACTGTGTATAAACATGGGTTTGCGCTTATAAACAGAATAATGCAAATACTTTCCAATATATACATTAAATGGTGTAGAAATCCATTAGTGCTGTTCATCATTCTCATGGCTGCTTTACTATACCATGCTCATGCCTCCCAGAGCAATCCTATCTGAAGGAAGGACTAATTGCAATGATTGACCCCTGCAAAACAGCCTTGTGGTTAGGGTAACAGCACAGTACTTGGAAGATCCAGGTTCAGTTTTGCTCAATATCCCACTCTTCTACTGCAAGACACATTTTTTCCTGAAATTATTATTCATTTTTGTGAAACAAAATGGACAAATCCCTGCAGGCATCTCACAGTTCTTCATTCTACATAACCCTGAAATATCATAAAGCTGGCAGCTGGAAGGTTTGTAGAAGAAACCAAACAAGCAAGAAAAGCATAGCAATCCTGGAGGAATATGATGCTATAAAAGTCTTATTCCTCAAGGTTCTATTTATTCTAAGGAAATGCCACTTTATTTCATTTTAAGGACACAATTTGGCAATTCTCAGCCACATCTAGTCATGATCTACTTACTCTGACAAATGGGAGGAACACCACTCCATGCGACATCTGCTCCAAAAACCTCACATCGCCTAATGGTCTGTCCAACCAGCTGGTGCCTGGAGTCGCACAGAAAGAAGCACCCATTGGTACCACGTCATTACGCTTGGATTGGGCATTTCCGCTCTGACACTACCCCAGAGGTTTCCTTCTGCAGCCTCCTCATTCTGGCTGATCATCGAGGTGTTTCTGTTGGTCTGGAATGAAGGACACCAAGTTCCTTCTTCCTGGATCCAAGAGGAACAGCTATGATCCCAAATTACTGTGGATTAGATTGGTGGGGCACTAAATCCGGACTAAGACCCAAGTGATTTCTATGCTCGAGCCTTCTTGCAGCACGTAGTTGCTTGCACTCCCAGCTCCATCTGAGAAGGCAAACTGAAACTCAAGTTTGCAAAGTAATCTATTGGGCATAGGGTTGGAGAAATAAGAGATGCTTCACTCTTT